TAGTAGTAGTAGTAGTAGTAGTACAGCAGTCGTCGTCGTAGTAGTAGCAGTAGTAGTAGTAGTAGTAGTAGTAGTCGTAGTAGTAGTAGTAGTAGTAGTAGTAGCAGTAGCAGTAGCAGTAGCAGTTGTTGTTGAAGTAGTAGTACACCTGGGGAGCAGCGAAAAGAAGGCTATTCAAGATAGTACGAGTTCTGATCACGCTGCGCGGGGAAGAAGAACGAGAAGAATAAGAAGATCAAATGATGCAACGACAGTGCCATGCCTATGGAAAGTGTAGCAACGTGGCTGACGATCGGCAACAGCAGAAAGCGCTATTGATATTGCAGGCTCGTGTGTGCACATACATGTATGTATTTTACGGCTGCCATGCGCACGAGAGTTTGCAAACATGCCTTTTTAAACAAGCCGATTGAGCGTCGGCACAGGCTCGAGGTGCAATCGAAACTGAGGGCTGGTGTGAATTATCTGTTTTAGCCCTAACAGGTCCTTGCGGTGTGCATGTATGTATAGATGCATATGTATATAGAACTGTAGATCTACATCGACTCAAGGTCCTCTACATCTATAGCTACATTTACATCTACACCGATGTCCATCTCCATCTCTCTCTGTCTCTCTCTCCATCTCTATGTCTATGTCTATATTATCTCGTTCTAGTTCTATATCTGTCTCTTTCCGATCTGTATGTACATATAGGCACAGGGGTCCAGGTGCACTAGGTCCAAGCTGACTAGAGAGACAGACGGGCAGTTACGTTGACAAGGCGATACAGAAGGTCAGTGGAGCATAATAACAAAATAATTCGCCAATAGTAGCAGTATTGGTAGTAATGTTGCTCCGCGCAGCATGACTGATCCTTCATAAGTTTTCACTGTTCATGCTAGAACGAGGCAGCTCTCAGCCCCTTCTGCAAGAATAGGGTCTGCTTAGAGTCCTTATGATGTGACACTGGTGACCTCAAATCAAAACAACAACCGTGTCATGGGATCCAAGCTGCAGTGTCTTCAAGGCTTGCTCGTCGAAGTGCCATTTCTGGTTGTCCTGGCCATTGCAGAGCCATAAATACACAAAAGAGTTTAGGGCAAAAGAATTTAGGGCGTTTCGGGTGTAGATACGCACTGAACCAAGGCCCAGGGAGCCGCAACCACCCATAAACCCCTAGTCCTGTCCCTTGCTTGGGATCCCAGATTTGGTTCAATGGTTCACTACCTCTAGAACTTCCTTCGAACACTTCACACATCCTCAATCAGATAAGCCCCCGTGTGCCTCGCCGTGGCAAGGCAGCATGTAGACGTTCCCGGTGCCGAAGTTGAAGTCGAGGCAAGTGTGGTCATACTTAGACTTCAGCAACTGGCCATCGAAGTACCAGTCCTCTCTTCTGAGGCTGAGGCCAAGAAAAGCGACACCGCCCAAAACACCCCGAAACTTTAGGTTGGATGGCTTGTCCTTTCAGGACGTACGCATTGCTAGAAACGAGAGAAGCGAAGGCTTTGAGAGTTTTACGATTCAGCGTCAGGACTTCTGGGAGTTTTCACACTCCCGTCCTGCTGATCAAGAATCTTCAAGGTTCGAGGTTGCGATCCCAAACCCGAAACCAAAAGCCCTGTTATGCCTTCACCAATCATTGAAACCTGACGGCATGGGGGGCTCCGTTTTTGACACCTACTCACATCGATGGCACACCCTTTTGGAAATGGCATAGCGAAACCCTACAAAATCGCATAGACACACACACACACAAACAAACAAGCAAAACAACGCAAAATCTTCCAAGCAACCTATGACACCGCATGCAACCCTGAACCTCAAGCCGTAAATCCCGAGACCCGAAGCCAACTCACCCCGTCCTGATAAGTTGCATCTTTGATATCATGGCAGTCCCACATCTGCACGTTGCGCTGGCCGCCTTGGGACTTTCGGCGGTAACTCTCCGATGCCCTACACCCGCAGGATGAAGAGGCCGGTTGCGGCCTTGATGTCGGCTGTACCCCAAACCCGAAACCCGAAACCTCTGAAGCCCCAACCCCTCACAACCCGAGGTTGACAGCTGACACTCTAAGTTCGGGGCCCTCGTTGGTGTTGAAATCCAAGCACTTCTTGCTGTCCTGCAGGGTCCTCCTGGGCTGCTCCAACAAACCTCTCTCAAGAAGGTTGTGTCTACTCCTTCTTAAAGTTGGGGCGTTTGGGGTTTGGGCTTTAGGGAACATACACACTGCGCTGACATTGTCTGCTGAGCCCCACACGAATTCTCACGGGCAGCCTAGTTTCAGTGGGCCACTCGACACCCTGGGTTGCCACGTCCATTGCTGTTGCTTCTCCTGGGCCCACACTGGTGCACAAATTCCGTGGAGAGAATAGAAAAAGGCTTACTGTTCCGCCGAGACACTCCGTGGCAGCGCTCATGCAGATATGCGTCGTGGGATTCAAAGTTGTGGTCCACGCAGTTGTCGGCATAGAGGGTTCTGAGGGTCTTGCCGTCGAAGCGCCAGTGTTGGTGGTCTCCCCCATGGCAGTCGTACATGTACACCGAGCCCGCGCTACCGACTTGGTTGTAGTCCAGGCACTTGTCGTCAAACTTGGACTTCAGGGTCATCCCATCGAAGTACCACTCCTGGTTCGCCTTGCCGTGGCAGCTCGAGACAAAGACATTACCAGTTCCCATGTGGTAGTCCAAACACTGGCCGTCGTACTCAGACCTGATGGGGTGGGGATCTATTTCTAGGGGTCCTACCTTTCCTATGAAGGGTCCTACCGTTTCGGGTCTATGTTTTCTGGAACTCCAACCTGAGGGGGCCGCTCACAACCTGCTCATCGGCGCAGTCGTAGCACTCCTCATCCTGGAGTTCCCCACCAGGCATGTCCGGAAATGTCAAAGTTGCGCAGTTCTCCTCGTTCAGGGCTCAGGGTTCAAAGAGCCCTGAAACCGACCGTAAACCCTTCAGGTTTTTCAGTTTTCATGTGCAGCCCTCCTCTTTGAGCTCGTCCCAGAGATCCCAAGCTCCGATGGGATCCAGGAGCTGCACCTGATCAGTCGTTTTCGGGCTGAAGGTCCTGAGAGGTTGTGGTTCAGGGGTTTTTGGGATTCGGGCTTTGCATCACTCATGTCTCCTACCCTCCTGCAAATCATGAATAGCAGCTGCCTGGACTGTAATGCCTCCTCTTGCACAGACCATGAACCACTACGCACGTCTTCTGCGCATACTGAGATAAACAAGAAACTTGTCATGTCACAGCGTGTCGGAGTGGTTCTGCAGACTACAACCTTACAGATTGCTCCCGTGGCCAGGTCACAGCATCCTTGATCCACTCGAAGGCTTCATTCCGCTTCGCCTCCGCCTTCGCAGCCACCGACGTTGCCCCGCCCATCAGAAGTGCGTCTATGGTCGTCTCCATGACAATTTCCTGGATGAAGATTTTAAACGTGTAGTTTCTTCGACTTTAAAGAGGGAACGCAATGCCGCTGGTGTGTGTGCATGTGTGTCGTGCAACGGCTCCGTCCTGAGCCTTCTCCTTGAAAGCATCCTTCATGAATGGAATGGCCTGAGAAACTTGATGTTAATAGAGAGAAGTCTGAATAATTTGCAGATACTTGTGCCAGATTATACCCGCAAACCCTATTCAAATTCTTCAGGCCCCGATATCCTAGTCTCTACAGCCCATGAACACCCCTATAAAAACAAACAAACACCTGTTCTAATTATAGCCCACGACCAGAGTTTTGACTTGGCCCACGATGGACCTGGCCGCCTTTTTCACCGCCGTCCGGAAAGCCAGCATGGCAGCTTTGCGTCCGACCTTCGGCTAGGGTTCTAGGGTTCTGTTAAGGTTCTACAGCTGTTTTAGGATCTTAGGAATTGAGGTCTGGCAGATTGCATGTATGGCTGGGGGGCTCAGGGCATGGGGTAGTAACGGCTATCGGTTCTCTTGAACCCTCGATCGAAGCTTCCGGCCTTGAAAGCGAATCTTCCAGCCTTGAAGGCTGGGCCGAAAGCTGGAATAACGCCGGCAATGGCGATCAGATTCATGCCGTGCTTCGCTCGACAGCCCCACACATCCTTCAAGGCGTCTCTTTCGCTTATCACAAGGCTTGATGATGCATGGCAGTAGTCAGGGCTTCCGGACATCTTTGGTTTCAGGCTTGTCGTGCTCATCATCTGTGTTTCATGCCAGGGCCTTCTACACACATCATATCCTACGTATTCTGCCTAAGCTTAAGCTTGGCAGCTGGCGTCCTTCGCACAGTAGCGTCCGGCGAAGCCACAGGAGTAGTTGTAGACTTTGGCACTCGGAAGCTCTAGACAATCCTCCCCCCACGGATTCAGGAAGCTGAACCTCTTCTGGCAGACGTCAAAGGACATGTTGGTGATGAATCGCTCGACCCATTCTTTCTGGAGCACATTGACCGCACTCTTCGCCAAGTATCCTGCAGCCATTTTCTGCTTCGTTCTGTCCGTTGGCTTTAGCTTCTTGCCTGTGGAGGGACCTGGGGTTCGTCCTTTGTCCTTTGTGCCTCCTTTCCGCTTCCCGAATGGCAAGCTGTTCAACCAGAACAGACAGCTGCTGGGACTGGTCTTGTCCTTCTTGGGGTCTTTCTTGGCAGCCTTCATGGAGAAAATCTTAGACTCCTCCTCCTCCTCCTCCTCCTCGTCTGGCGGTGGTGAGGGGGCCTCGTAATGCTCTTGAGCACGATTCCAGAAGGCCCCAGCCGCAAGCGTGGCCCCGGCACCGGTCACGAAGAGCGCTTGCCTCTTCAGTTCATAATCTTTCCCTGCCTTCGACTTGTAGTCCTTTTGAAGCACATCGAGCCAATGCGCAGCGGGTTTACTCTTTGCGGGCGTATTCCTTGCCTTCACGCGGTCACAGTCTCCCGTTTTGGGTCCGAGGGGAAGGCGGTCGGGTTGAATATATCTCACACGCACGTCATCGTAGCTCCTCTGGGACCAAAATGAAAGGCTCACGTCCTGTCTCTTGCCCGTGAAGGTGCATCTCAAGGTATGCTGAATCCGGCATGGGGTGAAAACCCCGCCAGCCTCCGCCTTCTCGAAACAATCATTTTGGCTCAGCGCGCGTCTCCAGATCCATCTGGTGCCTTCATCCTTGCCAATGAAGATAACCGCCAGAAACTTTGGCCCGGTCCATCCGAAATACGTCAGCGCCCATTCAAGCTCTTGCTGGCAATTCTTGCTCTCGAGCCAGAACTGATCGACGAGGAAGACCATGTACCTGGTAAAGCTGATCATGGCCTGATAGTACTGCTTCCAGAGAACATTCCGTGCCACCTTGACATGATAGCGGCTTCGTTGCAGCCGGTACGACCCATCCAGCGTAGGTAGAACCAGGGCGTCGATGTAGGGCTTCAAGTCTCCTCCGGATTTTGTCTTTGCCAAGCTTGCCATCTTCTTGGCATTAGCGAATCCTCTGCCGGGAACTTCGTACGCCAGTCCATTCGGTCGAATGTTTCCGGAACCGAAGCTGTACAGGATGTTATGTTCGCTGATCTTGAGGAAGTTTGCCTCTTTCGGTCGAAACCAACCTGCGGCCTCTTCATCGCTTTGAAACCATGCTGGCATGCAATGCTGCGCAGGTTCTTTCACTTTAGGAGGAAACAAGCCAGTGCATTTGCCATCTTGCGGGACATTTCTATTTCCAGCGAGAAAAACCTTTACGTATATCTCTGTACAGTTGTACCTCTTGTCGTTCCTCTTTTCCTGTCCGGGAGTCATCTGTACAGTAAATCCGGGGGCTGCGCAGGAGGGGTCTTGGCTCGCTCCGCATTGCGACTCGCTTGTCGCGGCTGTGCCGTAGAGGCCGGCCGAAAGGGCCGAAAGCCACAACCACATGAACCAGGCCATGGCTTCCCTGCTTCCCTCTCTTTATCCCTGAGAGCCGAAACTACCGTCGTCCTGATGATATAGCTGCGAATTGGTTTTTTTGGGAAGGCAAAACACCCTTTCTTCAGCTACGCACGAACAAGAAAGCTACATACATATGTAAAAAAGAATATGCAAACATACAGTATGTACGTATGGGGCAGGCAATTCTTGACAGGTCCTTGTCTGTGTGCCCCGGCTGCTGTGCAGCTTTACACAACAAGCTCCGAAACTATCTGGAGATGCGCCCGTTCTTGATGGGCTACTCTGCTCGCCCGACGAAGCTCATCCTGTGCCTGACCTTTAAGCAATGTATTTAGCATGCTTCTCATGAGCTGAAACCGAGAACATGGCACTGCGGTGCGTGCAAAGCACGTGAAAGCACATGACAAACTACAAATGTAGCGAATCAAGTGGAGTGCTAAGAAGTCATACCTAGCTACCTGACTACTATGGACCCCACTTGCAAGTACCTTGATCCACCAGTTGGCCCCGTCAACTTCCAGAACACAAAAGCATCTCGATCACGGCGGCACATCAACAACTGCCAGACTTTCTGAGCAGTTTTCCCGGAAACCAGCCGGGGTCTGGGATACGGCTCGTGGTGGGAAAGCTTCTGGCTGAAGTTCAAGGTTCAGCTTTAGGGGGTTTGGGACGAACGTCCCAAAGGGGTCCGAAGCTCAAAATGCGACAAGACAAGCTCTTTTCGTGCCATTCCGTGACCGCGACTGCCGTTCACCCGTTCAGGATCACCATGCCGAAGCCTGATAGATGGTGGTATGAGAGTGTGAGAAACGAGAAAGCCCTCTGTACGATTCTGCAAGTGGACACGGTTTGAAGTCAGGACGTGTTTTGAAAGGCTTTCCTATACCCCAGATTGACAGCTGCCGTTCCAGTCTTTGCATTTGGCCAGCGCGACCCGGCGGGCCTAAGAGATTAGGTTTAGGGCTCTACGCAAACCCTCAGCCCTGGTCCTTCACACCGAAACCCTAAATAGTAAACAGCGCTTCACACTCAACGCTCAGATTCAGCCCTGCAGCACCTCTTCTCGCTCTGACAAAAACGCGGCTGAGGTTGCCTTGTTGACCCCTGGGCCCTTCTGAGGTTTGGGTTTCAGGGTAAAAGGCACCCAGACCTATGCATACATATATAAGTATAGAAATATGTACTTATGTACACACAGATACCCCATGACAAGCAACCCGATTTGTAATCATCTTATGTCAAAACATGTCACACACACACACACCACTACCACCCAACAAAATAGCGTCGACAAAAAGCCACGCAAACAACCATGATCAAAAGAAAGTCCCAACTGGACCTCAAAGCCAAGACTGCCCAGCAGGGCGCCGAAAATCTGTAGAAAACCCTCTTGAAGGACCCAAGAATTCCATGGTCAGGCGCTTGGGGCTGCCAGGCGGCAGCGAGCTTTGGAGTGTCGAGGTCGAGCGGGGAGATGCAGGGTTTGGGATTTAAGACTCACGACTCAGGTATCTGGGTTTCGGAACTCAAGACTCTACATCCTTAATATCCCGAGACCTTTACACCAACAAGTCTTAGCACCTAAACACCCCCTAAAAACCGTGGTGATTCCAGAAAGGCTCCTAAATCCTGAAGGCTAAAACCTGGAACCCTTTAGTTTTCGAGTTTGAAATAAAAGTCGGCTTCAGCGCTTTGGGCTCCATTTTCAGGGCTCAAGTTTAGGCTTTCGGAGGGTTTACCCTAGCTCTAAACCCTACTGTAAAGCTTTTCTGAATCGTTGAGTCTAGGCTACAGTCCAGGCTTGGATCTTCCGTGTAGGCCCCGGGGACAAAGCAGTTTCTTCAACAATTGTGTTGAGCATCCTGGACAAGAGCTGTTCAACCCTGAACGCTCAAATCCCAAATCCAAGACCCAGAGATCTGCAGCCGTAGATGTCTCACGCAGGGGCTGGGGAGTTTGGGGGTTCACAGGTTTGGGGTCGGGTTTCGGGGGCTCCACCCCGACCTCCTCCAGCAGGGGGTTCTTGTCACCCTCTCGAGTCATGCAGTTTTGCAGCTGTCGAAGACGATGCCCCTGATATGGCTCCGGAAACCCTAAACCCCAAGTGGCAGGACTGTAGAGCTTTGGTTCCCAAAGTAAAGGGCTATCGTCTTGTCCGCTGCCTAAGACGGCAGAGGGCTCAGAGCATCAAAACACGTCTTAGAGACGCTAAGAAAAACAAGAGCTATATATACATATGTATATGTATGTGTGTATATATATATATCGCGAGCCAGCGAGCGAGCGAGCGAGAGAAAGACAGACAGAAACAGAGACAGAGACAGAGACAGAGACAGAGACAGAGAAAAACGGACAGACAGACAGACAGACATTTTTGACTTTGACGCTTTGCGTAGTCTGTGCTGCAATGATCATAGCCCGGCAGCTGCGTGACTATGTTACAATGGGAATTAACATACATGTCGAGGACAACTATTCAGGTGGAGGATTGACGTGAAAGTCAAACTTCCACTTCTTTGCCGAACGTTGTATAAAGAATTGTTGAAGATGAGCGCGGGGGTCCGGATCACATAAATGCTTGACACGATAAGCAACACCTTGTGGGGCGGTTATATCCTGCCTAAAATGTACAAACTACGACAATTGGTCAGACACTCTCCTGGTAGCAACTGCGCTTGCAGATGTTTAGTGAACCATTTGATGGCAGCCTGGAATGTTCGCAAGTATTCTGCGAAGGTGTAGGCTGATCCCAATCTTGTCGCAACATGTAAGAAGGTCGTTTTTCTTGTTGGTGAATCTGTGAACATTGATGGGGGGGCCGCATGCGGGCACTGAATATGAAATTGACAAGTAGTTCAGTCATGGAGCTGTCGGCATGTGCATGGTTGCGGGCACATTGCAGCTCGCGGGCCCACGCAACCAAAGCACGAGCAAACACAGGTCTGTACGGACACTTTGCCTAAGGGTTGTGGCCAATCAAGACGATGTGTGAGAAGCATCCCGACGATACGTCTAGAACAGAGATGTCGAAACGTGTGGAAACAGCGACGCTTGCTTTCTTATTGATTTCGTGCTCAGTGCATCGCACGATGAACCTATGGAACTGGCCAACGACATGTCGAAGCTCATCTTGCTAAGCACTCAGTGCACGAATTTGATTGAAAGAGAGAGACATCCGCGTTTTTTACAGCAGCCTTTGCACTGGAATCAGCACGATTGTCGTAAAGCCGAAATCGGTCCAAGAAAGGCGGCAATGCAATGGACGAGTTCACATGGGCTTTGACCTTGATAAACTCCACAGAACCTGGTGGTTTCTCAACATGTAGATTATCGAACTTTTCCCAGAGATCAATGTGTGTCATGGCAGGTGGTGTGCGTTTGGTTTGAGGAGCATCGACAGCAGACTGGCAGTTTACATAAACTGTGCATCGCAGCTACATCTGCAGCGCAAGCAGAAAAGCACACACCTCCGCTTGGTCATTGGATTGCTCACAACCTGGCAAAACCAGGGAATTCACGACACCCTCACCGTTGCAGGACATATCCGCAGTTGCAGCCGAAACAGAGAACAATCGGTTTTGGGGCCAGAAACAGGAGCCATCAACAAAGATATGCAGCAGGTCATCGTTGCTGGGCACCGTTAAATGCAAAGAAGCAGAATGCAAAGCGGCGAACAATGCCAAGGGGTACTAAGCCAAACGCCATACGCTTTCAGGCAATCTCTGCAACTTCGAAAATAAGCCGGGGAACTCAGCGCGAAAAGCATCATAGGCATGACATTGGAAACCCCGGTGATACGTGGAGTCTGGCATATCACAGTTTGGACACTGCAAAGTTTTTGACGCATCCCACTTTGTCAGCACGTCATGGGTAAAGCTACCACCATAGACATAGAAACGAACTGCACCAAGCGCCGCGGGTTGAAGTTTGGACAAAAGGTCTCTCATACCCGAAATGTCAACATCGGCAAGATTGAACCAAGGTCGTGTTTCTTTAAGTTCGGAGCAAACCTTTAACACACACACACACGTTTGTGAGAGCGCGAACCACAAGAACTTGGAACTACACCGAAGCCAATCAAGCGAACTGAACCACTGGTGGTGTAGCGTCAGACCCTCTGGCTTCCATCCGATGGTTGCTGCAGCCGCTACAAAAGATCCGGCAGTCCTATTGGGCAAACCAGCGTGATTAAGGCAGACAGACAGACAGACAGACAGACAGACAGACAGACAGACAGACAGACAGATCTATAGGATACGAACAGTGGTGATATCGATTCGTAAGGTTCCCGAGAATAAAGCTGTAAACCCCCAAAACCCTAATCTCAGCATTCAGGCCTTTTATTGGCTCGGACTAGCCACAAGCTATTCCCGCAATGAACATCAAGAGTCGGTTATACAATAAATATGCAAGGTTCCGACGCAGCATTGCTGCGGTACCGATCAGTTCATGCCACACTACCTGAACTTTTAAAGGTGCAACACCCCCTGATTTAGCCGAGCTCGTAGGGTAAGCACTGAAGTGAGCACCCATTCAACTTCACGTACAAGATCCCGGCTCAGGGTTTAGGATCTGTTGCTGGTTCAAGGTTCAGAGTCTTGGGTTCGAGTCGCGCCGTATTCTGCGCGTAGATTTGGCTTTGCTGTTTGCATACCCAAAGAACCCGTGGCTCCGAACCCCGCTGTTCTTCACGAGAACTCTACTGGCGCAGCGCAAAACATACCAAAGATGAGAGCCCTTCATACAAATAGCTACACGAGTGCGGGGAGAGGGTATGGGGCAAATTCTACTACAAGAGCAAAGGCACTAAATCAATGCACTCCCCCTGTTCTCGGATGCTGCTGGAAGCTCGTAAAGATTTTGGTGACACAATCGTTCCTAGTTTCGGACTTGAACCCCAAGGCTCAAAACCTTGCTACCCCAAAGCCCCAAACCCTATTTACTAAAACCCTAAGCCGTCAAACCCTAAGCCCTAAGACCCGAAACTCTAAGCCGAAGCTGGGCGAAGGGGGCGAGCGCGCAAAAAGAGAGCATGCAAATACAGAGACGCCAGAGCCCCTTAACTAAGCAACAAATCTGAAGTTGCAGAGGGATCCTTGAAAGGACTTAACGCATACTTATAAACTCCAGCCATAGAAGCGACATAAACCGTTAAAACCATAAATTAAAGCATGTTCCTTCATGAGGGAATTTCAGAGTCCCTGCGAACGAGACGAACTCGCCTCCGAGTTCCAGGCGCAGGCGAAATCAGGCGAAAGGTTACCGGCTTTAGGTTCATACAACAAAACCTGATATGATGTATACTATGTTACAGTAGAATTTCATATTATAACCTGATATAATCAAAGCTTAGGGTCCAGGAGCTTAGCATGTGATTCAAGTCCTTTTGGGGATGTAGGGGATGTTTCCATATGTCAGAAACATAGGGTTCAGGGTGTCTAAGGCTTTTAAAATTTGGGGTTCAGGGTTTAAGGCTCGGGATATGGAGTTGTGGGAAAACGGTTCAGACCGACCCCGCAAATGCAGAGTTCAACCTCGTCTTGTGAAGATAACGATCACACAAGGGGTTTACGATTTAGCGCTTGGAGGTAAAGCTTCGTATGCAGCACCCTAAACATTTCCCTCCATGGGCCCATGAAATAAACTCTCAGCGCTGACGGCCTTCCAGCACTGACTAGGCCATGCTTTCATAATCGATCTCGTTTCCAAGGTTCTACACCCTATTCCCACGCCGGGACATCATTTCGCCTCTATCTCAGAGGCAAAGCGTCTGAGCCGCAGGTGTACCAAGTGCATGAGGCCAATTCCTTGCAGAACTGCGGACACGGGCTCAAGAACAAGGGCTCTGCTAAAGATCCGTTCAAGGTATGTACTGTTTGAGGAAGGACGGACTATCAGGAGCATCCTCAATTTAGAACATATAGTACAGTACTAAAGAATAGCTTCTTATGGCATAAACTGGTCTATTCGTTCTACAGTATATTATGCATACAGCATAGAGTTCAGGGCAGGCGTCCTACTCATGAAGCCCTAAACCGTCGGTGCAAGGCCAGCCATTCTCGAACTGAGGCAACCCCGAAGCGACATGTGGTCTGAGAGAAAGAACTTGAACGAAGCTGCTTGCCATGATCCTATGCGTGGTTACAAAATTAAGTGCTGAGACTGTCACTCACCACCTGGCAGACACGAAGCACGCAACTTTCAAACCGCTCAACGTCTGAACGAGTCTAAACCTCGCAGGGCAACTCTGGTTACTGAGAAGTCTGGTTACAGTCGGCGGTTTAGGGTTTCGGGGCGATTCCGTCTTTGTTTCAGGGCTCAAGCTACGCCAAGAAAGCACTAAGCTCTGAGACGTCGCGAACCTACGGAACCTGTTCGAAGAGTAAGAACACGGTAGCCAAATCAGAAAGGACGAATAAGCCTACCTATTAACCCCAACAGGCTTCCTACGAAACCATGTACTACAGAAGCCCATAACGACAAAGCCACACCCCAAACCCTGAAGCCTTCGTACGTCCCTCAACCCCATACCCGTAAATCCCAAACTCAAGCCTTCGGCCTTCAGCATCGATAAATCCGAAAGCTTAATTCTTGGACTCCTTCAGTAAGTTCCCTCTAGGGAATTATGAAGTATATGTGCGTGTGCGTGTGTGTGTGTGTATCTGTATATATATATATATACATATGCATATATGTATGTATCTATGTATGCATATGTATGTATGTGCATGTGTGTGTGTGTGTATGTGTGTGTGTGTGTATATGTGTATATACGCATGTGTACATCTATACATCTATACATCTATACATCTATACATCCATACATCTATACATCTTTACATACATGCATACATACATACATACATACATACATACATGCATGCATACATGCATACATACGTGCATTCGTACATACATACATACATACATACATACATACATACATACATACGTACATACATACATACATACATACATACATACATACATACATACATTCATACCAGTATGCAATCTAGGGTTCAGGGTCTTGACTTGCAGCTTTTAGGCGTCGGGGCTTGTGCGTTAAGGGTTTAGGGCTTAGGGCTTAGGAATGAAGTCTGAGGGCTTAGCCTTGATTCACAGCCCAAGCATTGGCACCAACGGCTTCCTGCCAAGCTGGCTTGGTTTCGGAATTGGGCTTTAGGCTTTGTCCTGTCGGAGCTGGCAAACAACTTTTTGCGGTAGTGCCTTGACCTTTATAGCCCACTCCATGCACAAAGCTAAGGTAAACCATGATTTCGGACATGAACGTACATACTTCTGCCTGCTGCCGGCCTCAGTACAGGGGGCCGCACGATGCATATGAAGTAGAGTTTGCGGCTTGCGGCACAATGAGTTCGCACCTGCTAATGCAACTATACAGAACGGTTGCATTTCAACAGGTTGTACCACACGTCATTCAACGGCCGTGATCATAGCGTCGATACCGACGATGAGGGGTAGCCGGTCAAGGACGCTTCATGCTTAAGGTCAGGAGAATGCCAAAATCATCGTCAAAGTGGGCAGGAGCCTCCCCAAAGCATGCACCCAGTGCGGCCTAAACCTAAACCCTTCAAACTCGTATACCGTGAGTCCCAAAAGCACATGATACTCTCGGCGTCTGGAGGTTCCTTTCGGAGCTGGAGCTCCTTAAAATTTCCGGCGAATCCCAAGGAGCCCAAAGCCCCAAACGCTCAAAAAAAAAAGTTTAGGGTTTTTTTTTAAGGTTGGGTTCGACTCTTGTCTGCCAGCGCTGGCTCCCAACAAATACAAGTACTGCATGTTACAGCACCTTGGAAAACACCCCAAAATTCGCCCACACTCACTCATCCCATGGTAGCAACAGACGAGCAGAATCATGTACCCGACACCGAGGAGGGACAGGTCAACGGGCTAGAGGAGCTAGAACGAGCCGTCAAGGAGGTAGCCATACGACCCTCAGAGGCATTTGCAGCTTGTCCCAGAGTCAAGGAGCCAACTCCAGCATCGCCCAACTGTTCATCCATGCACGACATGCTCGCAACCGACCCATTGTCAGCGACGGCATCCATGTTCACCCCTACCATGTGTGTTTGTTGAACACTTGCAGGTAGTACAGGAGCCGGAAGTGCAACAGGAGGATGATGAAGGGCAGGAGCAACAGCAGGATGTACCGAAGCAGGTTCTGGAAGGTGAAGAACAGCTGGGGCACGACGAAGTAGTTCCGGTAGTAGGTCAGGTTGTAACCACGCTTCCTCCATAGCCTCCTCCATGACACGCCTCGTGAGGCCCGGAAAGCACATCCCAAGGCGACTACACTGCCACATCAGTTGTGCTCTGCCTTCTTCACATGGCATTGGACCCACCCCACACACTTCTGCTCTGTTCATCAAGACGTCCATGATCGCCTCGTTGGCCCGGTTCACACGTCCCAAAGCATGACGGAGCACTCGAAGTGTCCAGCCAGCGTCTCGTGCACGTCCATCCCCAGTGCTTGGCAGTTCAGAGGCCATCTCGTCCAACAGCTGTGACAGCTCACAGATACATTCACGATTGACCCCTTCGAAGAGATTTTCCCCTTCCACATACGTGAGCCTCTGAACCAGCACAACAGCTTCTTCCTCCCATTCTTCCCCTTGGTCAGCAACACCTTCCCAGGAACAGGTACTGGAGGCCCCCACCATCGTAGACAATGTCGACGTAGTAGACCAAGTGGAAGTGCTCGTTGTTGGTCTCGTTGTTGGTGTCGTGGACACTGCGATACTCGACGGGGCTGTTGGTTCATCTTCACTGCCACGGGCACTTTCTTCTTCTCCTTCCACATCAGACTCCGCCCCATCTACACTTCCTACCGTACTGTCTGCAGCAGCCAGTCTGTCCCGCGGCCCAGTGTACGGCGGCTCTCCACTACCCGCTGGTACTTCACGAAGAGCATCACGTTCCCGCTGTTCACGAGCGAAGGCCGTCCTGGGTGTCCGGTCACGACCTCTCCCATCCCCTGTTGCTTCTTCGCCCCGACGTAGGTTTTCCTGAACATCGTCCCTCAGACCTTCAATGCGTCGCAGGAGGAGATTGTCTCTGTCAGGACGACGACGTGGCGGACGTTCTTGTTCACGGAATCGCGGCGGCAGGAGGTCAGGTCTAACCCATGCATCATCGAGCGCCACGTTGTAAGCTTGGAGGAAAACATTGGCCATGACCGCCCCCTGCTCACGGCAAGGGTACAGTACACGCCCACGCTCGGCATCATCACTTGGCAGGTACGCCCCACCCGCCACCTCCCTGTTCTCCAGCATGTTGATGAGCTCCAGGAGGATGCGTACTCCATGACGAAGAGCTCTGGTGTGCACCATAAGGCTCCACATGCTCTGCGCCCGGACGTGCATCGGTTGACTTACATCACCAACTTGCATTGCCAGCCGCCCCAGGAAAGTGTCCACTGCAGTGATGTTCGCCCCAGCCACACCTTCGTTTGCAAGCCCCTGCCACTCGTCCATCTGGAATGTTTGCACCATGCTCATGACATCAAGGTTGTCCTCTGCTTCCGGTTCATTAACCTCCACATTTTCACCCCGAGAATTTCTGCTTCGGCTGCGGGAACGTTCACGAACATTTCGCACTTCACGTCCCGCCACCAGCACTGGAGCATCTTGTACAGGTAGCGGTGGTACAACGGCAGCAGGTAGTCCAGGAGCATCTGCAGCGGGAGGGGGAGGAAGTCGTACTCCTTCTGGTAGTCGTGCAAGGCGATTGGTGTGATACCTCAGCAAATCTTCCGCCACCCCCAAGAGGACCCACATGATTCTTCCTGCCACCCCAAGGAGTCTTGTACGTTGTGCAGCGACCCGTGGTTCCCGAAAAAGGGGAACATGGCACGCAGGATTGGGGCCGAGTCGTCTTTCCACAATTTCTGTGACTGACTGCAACACCCCAAGGACATGTCTCCATCTCAGCATCCACTGCCTCAAAGCCCATCTCCCCTCCCGTCCTTCCTCCATCGTGTCCAGGTCGTGTAGTGTACGGAGGAGGTTGCGAAGATCACGACGTCCCTGATCATAGATGCCCAGGTTCTCCAGTTCGGCTTCTTCGGACATCCCCAGTTGCATGAAGACATTGTCGTCGTCATCTTCATCCCCTGCTGCATCCTGCCAGTCTTTCCAGTCCTGACTTGTCCAAGTTGTGCGCTGTGGAGGCTCATCGTCCCTTGGCCAGCTCTTCACTGTAGGAACGTCGTCTTCTGATGTCTCGCCCCCATCTTGGTCAGCTTGCTCAACGAAGGGGTCATCGTCATGACTGGAGGCGGAGCAAGACGTACGGTCTTCAGCCACTTCCTCCAGCCAATCAACTTCTTCAGCATATGGCGGGGCTGCATCCCATTCACTTGGTCCAGGCGGGGGTGGTCGTTGTAGGTGACGGTTAAGTAGTTCAGCGAAGTCGACTTGTTGGGCTGCAAGCTGTTTTTTCTTCCAGGCAGGAACAAATTCGCCCCGAGCCCACTGTTCCATCCTCGTACGGCGTTTAGTCTGCCTGACCGTCCCTTGGCCACCTGTGTGGAAACGTTGCTCTTCTGCTGTTCGTTCTCGTGCGACCCATCTTCCATGTCTGTAGAACCCAGTGGCATGAGCACGTTCTCCAGGATCAGCTTGTTGTGGCGGTTCATCCCATGGCGGCGGCCCCCAGGTTGAAGGGTCACTGAACCATTGACTGGAAGAGCTGGATTGAGCTGTGCCAGAAGGATGCTGTTCTCGCGAATGATCATCTCGTTCATTTGCACGTCCAACCCAGTCGTCGCGTTCTGCACCAGCAGGATCGTGTTGTCGTGCAGCTTGACGTGCCTGTTCTCCTGTGCGAGCTTCAGGTAGTCGATGAACATGTTGAGGGCGTTCACCTTGACCTTGTTCTCGTCGAGCACTGCCAGAAGGGATATTTTCTTGCGCCTGTTCAACCCGTTGTTGTACACGATCGTCTCCATCGTCCCAAGCAGTACCAGCGGGGTCGTGTTGTCGTGAGCGTTGGCGTGCATGTTCTCCTGCGCGAGCTTCAGGTAGTCGAGAATCTTGTTGATGGCGTTCACGTTGACCTTGTTCTCGTTGTCTAGCGTCATCCCCGGCATTACCACGCACTGAAGAGGAGGAGCTCGCTCCCCACTGTCCACCATTGTCTCCGCTCACATTATCCCTGGCCCAGTTGTTGCTGTTGGTGTTCCACTGTGACCTTTGTCCAGGCGCTCCGATCGCTCGCTTGAACAGGTAGTGGATGGACGCCAGCAGGAGGATGAAGATGACACGCCCCTTGAGCAGCGGCACCACCATGGTTGCAAAGGGCGGTCTACGAATTGGGGTCCTCACAAAAGTCTTCACCACTAAAGAACATCTGAGATTCATCGGAAGTCAAAGTAAAAGTAGTCTGCGTCATCAAAGTAGAAAAGTTGAGTGGTCACGTGCTTGCGTGTCAAGAACATCTGAGGAGGCTGCAGGAAACACATCAGCATGGGTAGCTTCACACGTACTTGCAGACACCCCTCAAGCATTCAGGCACAACTGACGTCCCCGTGACCAAGGTAGGTCCATGTCGAGGATCCACTTCTTCATGAGCTGTTTCCACCCCTCTCTAGTTTCACACGCAAGGTACCATTTCTCCCCAAGACACCCAGCAAGGGAGCGCTCCAAGTTGGAAGCTCTGAATCGCTTTGGATGACGTCGTCCTACAGTGGAGGCCTTCTCCCCATACCACCACTCCAAACTGCGCCACAGCTGCATCCGGGCAGTGAGCCCGCGCACGGGCCCCTCACGCTGTCGCATCCAATGCCCAGCCACTTGGTATTGTAGTCGGAGTATTTTGCTACTCCAGCGCTCCGCCCCTTTGGTAGCAAGCCACAGCCGAACTTGTCTGAGCGACCGGGCATTGTAGCTTATCCAATCTTCAGAGGCTCCCCTTTTGATTCCAAAGGCAAGCCTCAAAACACGAAGTTGAGTGCTGTTCATCATCTGGAGGTCGGTTGTTTCCCAGTGTGTCGCCCCGGCAGACCAACTCCACACCCCCTCAACTAGCATCTGCACAAGGTGGTACTTGTTTGCGAGCGAGCCAGCACCACACAATAGCGCCTTGTGTTCGTGGAAAGCAGCCCAGACTCGGCCATGTAGTTCACGCGCTTGTTGAGATTGGCATGCATCGAAGTCATAGTCAAGCCCCAAGACGCGAATGCTGTGACCAGTTGGGAGGATGTCAATCTTGGCCCCATCAAATGCAACCGTTCTTCGTCCCTTGTAGTACTTGCTTGCAATGATCGTTGTCTTGGAAGCGGCGAGGCGAAGTCCTATTTTCCGAAGTTCATCTGAGAGTTTTTGGATGTTCTTAGACAGGATACAGGCATTGCTGGTCCAGACAAAGATATCATCCTGGTACGTCCCAACGTCGGCTGGTAGGTCAGACAGTCCACCCGTAGGTTCATGCCATCGTTTTCCTGCCTTGAGCTTGTTGACAACGTCGGAGATGATGAGTCCGAACAGCTCCGCAGATTCGGGAGAGCCTTGGCGAATCCCCTGATTGCAGCGTACACAAACTTCCCCGCCACCTGGAGCCGTCCCAAAGAGAGTGTTTTCCTGCAGGACCATGAGCAAGAAGCGCCATTCAAAGGGAACATGCTTGTCCGAAAGGTGGCTTTCAAGGAAGTCTGCAATGGCTGTTCTGCTGACGTTGTCGAAGGCTGCCTCGACATCGAGTTTGGCGACAACCACCCCAAGCCTCCATTCTCTGCACATGTCACGAAGACGCCCCATGCAACCGTGTAGGTCGGCGGTGCTGCGATTATGTCCACAGGCGGACCACGGCGAAGGGTCACGTAGTAGATGAAAGCTTCGTCCCATGACTATCTTAGAGAGCAACTTCATCCCAGTGCAGGACATGGCAATGGGACGCAGTTCCTTGACGGTCGTGGGCCAGATCGTTTTCGGCAGAAGGGCCAAAACTGAGTCGCCCCAGTCTCGAGGAAGGATTCCAGCAACCAGAACTTCATCAAAGAGCCGACAAAGCTGCAGAGGGTGTTCATCGAAGATGCGGCGCAACAGGTCAACCCCAACCCCATCCGGGCCAACAGCAGACCTAGCCTTCATCTTCGAGAGAGCAAGGCCAACCTCCTCGACGCAGACCTGGATGTAGCCAGCAGGAGGACAACAGACAGAGGAAATACGTTTGGACAACTGATCGTCCCATCCAAGATCCTCGACCCACACTTTCTTTTTGAGCTGAGCCTCAACATCCCCTGCAACTTCACGCGAGCTCTTGCTGCTCAGGAGTTTCCCCCACCAATTACGCTTCTTCTTCTCCGCTTGAATGTCACGATACGCAATCCAATCCCCACTCAGGACGCGAGAGACACGGTTCCTCTGCCAAGCACGTTTGTGTTTCCTTCTCAAGTAGTGCACTTCTTTCCAAGCCAGTTTGGCAGCTTCACCCCGTTGAGCACGAGCACGTTGGATTGCCTCCTTGACTTCAACATCGTCACGGTAACGTCCCTTTTTCCGAGGAGCAGTATGGCGACGAGCACATTCACGTACTTCTTCCCAAGAACCAGGCTCCGGCAAAGGATGCTCGCAGTTGACCCACTTTGCTCTGGTGTCACGCCATCGCCCCCACTTGGTGCACTGTAGTTCAATGTCGAATTCCATCCTGGCATGGTCTGTGTTGATATGGAAACGCACATCCTCGTTGACCACAACAGAAGAACATGACAGGAGGCGGCATGTCACCACATCGATGTGACGACCACTGCGCGATGCATCCCTTGGGTAGTGAGTGGGCTTCCACCTGTCATCGTAACGAGGAGGGCAGAGTCGAAGGTTGACATTGGACACGGCCTCGAGGAACTTATCAATTTTCGCCCCCGACGAAAGAGTGACATTACCATCGGCTTCACTCTCATCTGCGTGGGTCCATAGCACGACTTCATTCACATCAACCCCAAGGCAACAAGGAAGGTCTGGGTGCCATCTTGCTAAAGCGTGACGAAATTCTTGAACAGCCTTGTGATAGACAGCCGTAGACACCCCAGTCGGCAGGTGCAGTGACCCCAAAATAAGGCGACGATGGTTGCGTAGACGGACGACCCATGCTGCTCCCTTGTTGAAAGCGATCCGGTCCGTCCAACTGTCATATAAATCATGAGATATTCCAACTCCAACTCCCCGCCATTGTCCCGGACTCTGGTGCGACAGCCATGTAAAGCATTCAGTAGTGTCCTCGCCCCAGCCTTCAGCGGATCGAGGCATTTCTTGTAGGAGGAGGATGTCAAGGTCTCCCCCAACGGTATCAACTTTGGATAAACTTTGCCCCCCAACATTCCAGGAAGCACATCGACGACGAACACTTTGAGCGGCACCATCGAACTTCCCCTGCATAGGCACTCCAGTCTGACGATGTTCATCAGTTGGCGAACCAAGATGTCGCCCCAGACTGTCTATGGTGAAACCTTTCTTGGACTTTCACAGCTCCAGTTCTACCGCCCGAAGGGCGGTATCAAAGACCACACCAGTTGCATGAGCCATGGCCATGATGTCGATCCATCCCGACGATAAGAGCTTCACGCTGTCTCCTCTCGGTTGTCTGTGCGTACTCGACCCAATTTTCCATTCGCCCATCCAGACCGTCCCCGAGTTCCAGTCGACGTCGTACGACCCATCTTCTGCTCCTTGAGGATTATGTGCTTCACGTTGCACCATCGCATCCTTGACAAGTCCGGTGCACACTCGGCGGATCAACGACCCATGGGCCGAACGTTTCCTGGCCTCTCGTGTCTTGGTGAAGGAGGCCCACATCGCTTTACCCTCGCCCCCACCCGAGGTCGTGGAGCGAAGATGCACAGGTCGAGCTCGTAGATTCTGGATCACCTTCCACATTCTGTCCCGCGTTTCGGCCATGTTCTCGTTGTCCCGGATCTTGAACTTGAGCACCCCAAAAGAGCGACGAGGCCCCCATACCAGAAGTTCATCTTGATCCAGCAGCTCCTTGATCTCCGCTCTCTTGAGGAACTCTCCCCCTTCTTCGATGATGACTTGTTTCTTCGTGTCCTGACTCCACCCCCCAATGATAAGCATCCGCTTGTCCTCCTCGGTGAGTTCCTCACGTCCCAGAGGAGCGCCATTCGGACCACTGCCACCAGGAGGAGGAGGAGCGTCAGGACGTGCAGCAGGACCAGCATTTCCAGGACCAAACGGAATCCTATTCGCCTTGTAGTATTCAGCCCAGGGATCATCGTTCTTATCCCCTTGCGGCTCCTTCTTCTTCGCCGCAGCTTCTTGCTTGATGTCCTCGACTGCCTTGGTCAGTTGGTGAACTTTGACTTCCAGGTCCGCCCCTTTGCGCTCGACTTGTGTCACCCTGGAGGAGAGCACCGCCCGCACCTTTCTGTCCTCGACCGCTTCCTTCTCGACGTCCCCCAGCCTCGAGGAAATTTGTGCCCAGTTGGCCGTCATGGATTGGAAGTGCTCGTTCAGGAGGGCCCGGAACTCGCGCGAGGTAACCGGCACATCATCCCCGGCTGGATCGTCATCGGCTCCCCGACGTTCACGTCGATCACGGCGCGGGGCAGGAGCAGAAGAGTTAGAAGGCAGCCCAGCGTCTCTAGCTCTTTTGCTTCGCCCAGGACTCCCTCCCACATCGTCAACGTTCATTGCTCCCCTCTCCGTAAAGTCAGTCGAGGTGCCTCCAGGTCCTGCTTCCTGAAGTACCGTGTCCCCTTCCTCCTCGAGGTCCTTATCGTCGTCCTCGATGATCTCAGTTGGACTTCTATCCATAGCGACGGTAAAAGGCGAACAATGACAAAGCGGATGATCGTGTAGTCCCCGGTGAGTCCATCAAAAGCTAACGAAAGTCCTTGAACCTCAACGCCTTGAGCCGTGGGTTTAGGGTGTAGGGAGTAGATCATCGTCGAATGCAACGGGGATAACTACTCGGAGTCAACAAGCAGCAGCTAGCCCAGTCAGAGACACACCGCCACTCCAAAACCCAGAAACCCAAAGCCGAACCTCCCGAGCCCTGATTATTATTCAGGGTTTGGGGTTTCGGGGTATGGTATACTATAATCATAACAAGGAACCCCCAAGAATAGTATAGCTGGGAAGAAGAAGCTCCCGAGCCCTAAATCCCTGAAGCGGCCTGAAGCCTTCCAGTTCCACTCCCCAAACCCCGATAACCCTCACGTCCTTTGAAGCACTCACGAACAAGACGGGTCGCCTTGATCTCACGGGACTGCCGGAGGCTGATGCTCTTCTGCATGGCCACTCTTGGCCTGGATGCTTTCCGCCACTTTGAGATACTCTGACCCTGCCAGTCGACACACAGCCAATGATGCAAACACATGAAAGCTGATGCAGGCAGGGCAGTCAAGCGTTTTGGCGTGCGTGTAGGGGAAACCAATGTAGCTCGTAATCGTAATTAACCAAATTAAACACAAAACTGGACTAGCAGCCAGACGCAGCTACAGCGGGTAGCTGCTTTAAAAGTGTGTGGCTGACATGTCGTTTAGCACCTCTCAGTAGTAGCCCTTCATCCACCACTGATTGTTGTGGCCTTTTCCGCGACGTCGACGACGATCGCACAAATACGTGTAAACATCGTGCCTCGAAAACTGACCCCCACGACTTGCATCCAAGCAGCGGCGGGTTTGGATGTTTCTGAAGCGACCGTCACTGAGTCGTTCCCATTTTTGATTGTCGTTTCCGGTGCAGCGGTACTCGTAGACATCATTCACTGGGAACGAGCCCCCAAGGCTTTCGTCAAGGCAAAGGCCAGAGTCAAAATTGATCATCTGGCCATCCTCAGAAAAGTACCACTTCTCTCTGTCTGTGCCTGAGCAACTAGCTTCATAGACTGCGTTGGCAGCCCACGTATTACCATTGGCACTGCGCGACGAGCTGCCTGCGGCTGTGAGGCACCACCGGCTGTCCTTGTTCTCCATTCCTCGGGCTGTTCTTGGAACCGAAATTCTTGCTCAAATCTAGCTTAGATTCGCATGGGCACAGAGACAGGAAAGACGATGAAGGAAGAGATCTTGTTATCGAAGCCCGATAGTTCGCCGTTCAGATTCCAGGAGCAGCAGTAGCGCGTTTCATCATTGGCCGCATTCCAGATAACCACAGCTGCCAAGGCTATGGCTCCAAGGACGACCACCAACGCTCCACCGAAAGCTGCAGCCAACACAGCCAGTTTAATTGTGGCAACTGTAAGAGCGCCAGCGGCAAGCACCGACAGGCCGGTATTCAGCGCTACCGAAACGCCAGTGCCGACGGTCCACGTGACGATGGAGAGGGGGTCTCCATCTGTGCTGCCAAAACCTACCTGGTCTGGACTTGGAACAGCGCACTCTTTGCTTGTCTGGGACATGAAGTGGGTCGGATCGCAGATCAAAGACAACCTCCGTCCTCCGTAGCTGTAGTCTGTGAAAAGGTTCGCGGCTGCCAGTACGCCGCTTCTGGAATCCACACAAACCTCGACGGAGGAGGTCTTGTCGTTGAAATGCCGACGCCTGTGACCATCTAGGTTGGAACCATGAACGCCGCTTTGCTCGGCTGGAGCCCAAGGAGTTCGCCAATTGCTTCCACTGCAACCTGTGCCCTCGTGAAACCAAGCGTAAGCCTTCAAGTCATTGTTAGCCTTGTACGTGCACCCGGAGATGGTGTTGCTCGAACTTGGGTGCTTGACAGACGTGAAAGAGCCTTCGGATCCACAAAAGCATTGGCTGTAGGTGTTTGCTGGGGAGCCCTCCCAATTGCAAGGAGGAGCACACGACTCGTGGCATTTGGGTTTGTTGCCGTAAGAACTGAGGCAGCAGTTGCTGCCGCGACGGCTGCAGCCACCCCCTCCGAGCCTCCCACAGGCACGGGGCCCACAACGGTTTGATCTGAAGATGCCCCCGAGCAATTGACACACCTGGCTGCTGCTGAAAGAGCTTCCGACCGCTTCCGACGAGTTGGCAAGCATTGACTGCCTTTGAAGGGCACATGTCTCCTCCTCGTCGGAAAAAGACGGTTCCAAGACAGCAGCAAGCAAAGCTGGCAACAATGCAAGCTGCAGCAAGGCTGGCATCATGTGGTGCGGACGTAGCCGAATGAGAGCTACGTAGCTGACCCTTAGAACCGACTCAGACCTTCGTCGATGGAAAAGGCTGCAAAACACCAGGCACAGATGTTGCCAGAAGTGAACATGGCCATGTCTAGATACTCTTTACTCCAAAGGAAACAACTGAGTATTCGTCCAACTTTTGACTGGATGTCCACAGAAACTCGTTCAAAATTTCATGGCTGGAAGCTTAAAGCCTAGTTCCTAGTTGATATGAGCTTACTGTTCATTGGCACTTGCGAGAAGTCAATGCCATGACAACTACTATCCAGTTGGTAACAGATGCTAACCAGTGTTCAGCAAGTACGTAGTTTAAGCCTGAAGCACTTCCATTGTCATGCACCATGCAGATCTTGGGACACCGACACCTCCAGAAAGGAGTCAACGCTGTGGGCGAAGTCCACCATCATGCCACAGGCCGCCTGGTTTGGAGGCTTTAAGCCTTTAGGCTGCAGGGTTTAGGGTTTAACCGTAGTGCTTTACGGGAAATCCTACAGATCCTGCAAAGAAGCTTCCAACATGCACAAACTTCCAAACTCCCACCATCTGCTCCGGACCCTCAGTTCAAGCGTCTAGGAGCTTTAAACTCAGGGTTCAGTGCACCAGGAACGTGAGCTTGCTCAACACAAACAGGCATGCGGCATGAGGACAGTGACAGCGGCAACCATGGAAATAGCAGGTGCTTCGCATCTCACGACAAGGCAGCGCAGGATTCGGTGCAGCCATAGTGCACAAGTGCATATCCTGCAATCAGCAATAAGAACGACTTGGCACAAACGGGATGTAGAGACTCACAAGTCATAAGAGGTCCTAACCCCGGAAGCAAGAACCCGAAGCCCTGAATCTCGCGCCAAGAAAGCCGGGCACCTCCGGATCGCTCACCAGGTTGCTGGTAAAGTCATCGCAAAACACCAGTCCTGACGGCAAAGGTTTTCCTCTTGGACAACCTCGAAAGCACCTCTGATCTCCTACTACAACCCCCGCCCACCAATCGAACAAATAGAACGAAAACCATAAAGCTCCATCGGAACGTTTGGGGAACCCCCATAAATGGTTCCCTTTAAAGGCGAACCCTAAGCCCCAAGCCAAACTGCCAAACCGAGAGGCCCTCCATGGACACGAGGCCGAAGTCTCCCAGCCACGTCGCCTTGAACACCACCTTTCAGGGTTTAGGTTTCAAGGGTTTTTAGAGGTTCAGGGTTCAGGGTTTAGGTTTGCAGGGCAATTTGTGAAGGAGCTTCGTTTGGATCTAAAAGGCTATGAAGGCAAGGGCAGGAAAGGGCCTCTGTCTTGTTAGCTGTTGGCAAAGGCTTCTTTGGGCTTTTGGGGCTTGCAGGCTTCAAGGTATTAGGACTTTTGGGTTTTGGAGCTTCAGCTTCATGCATTTAGGGCTTCATGGTTGGCCTTAGAGGGCTGAGGGAAGGCATTAGAGGCGTTTATGGCTTGATGGTGTTGATTGGGAATCTCTAAGGTATATTGGGTGGTGATGAGAGTTTAGCGTGGTAGATTGCAGGGTTTGGGGTTCGGGACTTGGGGGGTTCGGGGTTTAGAGTTTGGGACTTCTGTGCCAGAGTCCTAGACGTGAGAGCATTTCCAGGTTCAGGATATATGTTTCATGTCCTTTCACGTGCAGGTTTAGGGCCTCGTAGGCTGAGGGTAGTTGCAAGGTTTGTCCGTTGACCGGTGATTCTAGCGGTTTAGTGCAGCAGGCTTCAGATCCAAATTCCACGAGCCTTGAGGGCGCTTGGCAGGTTTAGCGGTTTCATGCGGTTTCGCATGTTCAACTCTTCATCCGAAATACTTTACGACCCAGGATTCTGCTGATCGTGTCTTGTGTGCCACTGCGGAACCCGAAAACCCTGAGTCCTGCACCACCCGCAACTCCAAACTTCGTCCGGCCAAGAGTTCGAGCTGCGGCTCGAAACACGGACGGCCTGAAATGAGAGGTCGAAGAGATGCCGTCGAAGACCTGCATGAAGCTGCAGGGCAAGCTCTGGTGAGCTAATTTGGGGCTTCAGCGGTGATTGGGGTGTCATTAGGAGGCTTTATTGCCTCGAGAACAAATCCAAAACAATGAAACATGAATCGCCAAGCCACAACCGCCTTCAGCCTGCAAGAAACAGACATAGATTTCCAAAAGACAACACTCTAAAAACCTGGAACGCCCCAACCAAAGATGCATGTGCATGTATACATACGTACATACATACGTACA